TCCATCATACTCACATCTCCTGCTTTTGTTTGCCTATCACTCATTTCTAATTAGCAGACAATAGATTAGTTCAGCCATCATTTACACAATCTGCCTAACCTGAGTGTGCATGTGTGTTTTAATCAAACATCGGTTGACAGCCTTCTGCCAAAGTTGAAATATGACTTCCTAGTGATTTCTTCTTCATTCTAAAGATTTTATGACAAGGTCACATCACAATATCTGAGGGTGACTACAGGCAACAGAAGTGGTGCAGTTTATGTCAAAGTATTAGGACACATTGAAAGACAGAAACAAATATCACACAGAGAACGAACAACTTTTGAACAACATACATGCATGTGGTTTGTTTGATTGTTTCAGAGTGGGCTTTAATGACACCAAGGTTTGGCAGCCATGATGGCAGCTCTTAAGACACAGTGGTGTGCTGCACTTAATGCAAATGTCAGCATGTTAACTTCAATCAGTTTCTCAGTTACTGTATGTCTATTCATCCCATATAAACAAAGATGGTGACAGGAAACACAGTTGTTATTCTGGCTTCATGTCCTGTCGCCATTTTTTCTTTTGAAAAAAGCAAATAATTTCATCTGAAAACGTCACAAAGTCTATGAGGATTCAGGAATACACGTTCACTGAAGATTATCCCTGTGACTTGAGTGTATGTAATACACGAGAGTCACAAGTTGGGGATAAGTTTAGCATTTGTAATCACTTACTTTTTACTTACTTAATTGTGATGGATAGGCTGTGAGGCTAAAAACTGGTGTTTTACTAATCTGAGCTGGAGCCCAGAAAGATCAGATCAGTGCAGTACTCTAGTCTAGTCCGTCTATTCTCTGGTCTAAGATGGAAGAGGTGGAGGCTGGTAATGCTATTGCTGCAGATATGCAAAATGGTTGTATGATTACAGATATCAGTCCATAACACAGTGCTCAGTAAAGTATTTCTGTTAGGAAAAATGTTATTATTTGACACAAGGAACGGGTCCGACCTTGTGAGAAGGTGAGATTAAACATTAACAATGTAGTTATGCAAATAAGCAGTGTGGACAACACCACAGGCACAATTCTCCATGGCAACACGCCCGCCAGGAGTCTCAAGCAATATACAGTTATTTCCATGACAACATCATTAAAAGTTTCCTGGCTGCCATCTGAAGTGCTCTAATCAAACATAAGGAAGAGCAAAACAGCAGTGAGACCTCAAGGTGACTCGTCACTGTTTTTTATTTTATTTTATTTTATTGTAATTCTTGTTTAAATGAATGCAACACGGAGATAGAACAACTCAGATGGTTAATTAAGCTAAATTTGGCTAAATGTCTTACATTGTACAAGCTTCTGCTCAGTTACTTTGTTGATCTGTCTTAAATGTGACTTTTATAAATGCAAACATCTGCAGTGTGAACACGTCTCTGAAAATGAAAACCAGAGTTTGAGTAGTTCCATGAAAAGCTTGTCATTAGATGCACATGAACCTTAACAGTATTCAGGGGTTCTAGAAATGTTCAGGAAGCTTTTTCAGTAATGTCAATGTGCTTTTGTTTGGCTAGACTATCACTCTATAAGATTTCACAGTGGAATACACTGTTTCAGAATAATTCAACCAAAACGCCATTTCAAACATATATTAAACACATGAATGGAGTCACTGAATTCATCCTCTGTTACACAAGCACCACGCAGCCAAGACAAACGAAGCATCGAGTGGCATTAAAGAATGTATTTTTCCAAAGCTAGACAGATAGTGATATCTGTTAATACCAAGTAATACTTTAGTGCTGCCCTGTCTCTATGTGGTTATTAAAGAGCTTTCAAGAGCAACGTTGCGTAGGGTTAAAATACTGACTTTGGTCCCCCGTCCCTGGTGAACACAAACACCCTTAGCTGCTCAAAGTCAAAGAGGTATAAGCCATTGAAACACACATACACATAAACACACATGGACCCAAAACCACAAATGCATGCAGACGCACAAAGACATACACACTAAAACAGAACTGGCAAGCCACCAAGATACTCAACAGAGCCAATCTCTCCCTCGCACAGCGGGCTGTGAATTCCCAGTTTGCTTAGCAGCGACAACGGGTTTTGTGTGTCTGTGGTTTTGTGTGTGCAGATAAAAATGCAGCAATCACCAAATGCAGGCACAAGGGCCACCAAACTAAATGCTAGGATGAAGCTGGCATAAAGACTCATTTACACACACAGCACATATGATTAGGAATCGATATGCTTGCCAAGTCATTTCCCCCCTCTGTTCCAGAAGGCACTGAAGTGCTTAGCACACAGTGAGCAGATCTTAGCCTATACGAAATGGAAAGGCATGGTGAGATGGGAGGAAAAGAATAAGGGAAGGGTGGAGACAGAAAGCAGCAAAGCATGTTGGTCAAAATTGCAAAAATTAATTGGTCACACCCATGTGGACTTGAATTTGCATCCAACACTTTTGCCTAGTTGTAGGAAATTAGAAGCCCTTGTTTTTCAAAATGTTAGGTTATGTGCAAATATGCTATTTCATAATCTTTCTTGCTGCCTAAATATTTGGTATTCATATCACTCTGTTTACTGTGAGTTCAACTGACTGCACTGTATGCACACACAACAACCTGTGTAAATTCAATATCCTTTGTAAGGTAATGTCAGAAGCAAACAGTATATGGTAATGGCATGAGAGGAGAAAAATATTTTCTTGTCTTGTAATTATTAACAGACACTGGTTCAGCCAGGTCTCAGTTCTCCAGTAAGGTACAGTTGGTCCCTAGTATTACTGTGTATCTGGCTTCCAGCCACTTAGTCTACATGTAGTATGTACACACACAGCACAGTATTTTCACATTTTAATAAGTGACTGCTACTGACTGCATCCTGTGCCAATTACTATATTAGACTGTGCTAAAATAATTATGACTGCTTTGCTACTGTAAATATTATAACTGCGTATTCATCATTATTATTATCTCTGTAGTATCATAAGAAGCTGCCGCAGCTTTGACTGGCAAGTAGATACAGTAGATGTTGGTGGAATTTTGAGTCGATACTTACAGGGAGATAAAAAAGATGATATTTTTAATGGAATCGTTTTGAAGCTGAATGACAGCATGGTAAATTGACTGAGCTAAATTGGACTCAGCCCGACAAACACTGTAATTATTGCATGTTTTTCTCTCCATATTGCACTGATTGCTTGTTTGAAAAACGTGTCACAGATAACAAACCTCAACAGGAAAGGTAAAAACTAGAAATAACGGTCTACATTTGGACGTGAAAAATTGGGGACTAGGAAATTATTATTCATTTTTATCGTTTTTAGCTTTGTTGAAAAATGCTTTAAGTCCAATTCTATGAGGTATTAATTCTGATATTCAAGGTTCCTCCTACCCCATACAGCACATGACTCACTTTATTTAAATGACTGATTTATGTGATGCATTCTGTAATGTACAGCCATCCAGGCATACACACAAGCAGAGGCTTCAGCAAAATAAATCTCAGTGGTGGACGCAGAGGTTGGTGAGGAATTTATTCCGCTGGGCAGAAATGAAAAGGTCACAGCCTGAGACGGTGGCTAATGAGAAGCACTGTCAGGTAGTAGCTAATGTTAAGATCCTCCAGCTAAACTCATGCCAGCTATTGGCATCAATCCAAAGGTCTACCAGTGAGTGTGTGTTTGAAAGTGTTTATTTGATCAGCATTCATCTTCTGTGAAACTGAAGTTTAACCCAGAGTCACCTGTGCTTTCTTGAACTTCTTATCCACTCAGCATGAAAGATGGCTAGGAAGTACTGGGGTTGCTGGGAGTCCTGGGGGCTCAGGTCCTCTTCTCTGACAGTTTCATGTTGTTGTTGTTTTTTTTTTGGTTTTCTTTGGCCTAATGTAACTTGGATAGGCAGCATTACACATATTAATATCAACTTATGTTGATATTTTGTTTAAGAACACTCATCACTGCTATGTACACGTTTTTATAAGATAAAACAAAAATAGTTTTCCAACATAACAATTAGAGAAAAATGCCTCTCTGTTGTTCCTGATCAGCCTCCTGATTCTGATGTTTGCCTCTATACTTGTAACGTATGGCAGCATTATTGCTACAGTTAATGCTTAGTATATAAACAGTTTCATAGTATATAAACAAAATAAACAGCCCGTGGCTCATAACAGCACATTTTTCATATATAATATCTTCTTCTCCCCCTGCCCAACTTGTTGCATATACAAGTATCTGCTTTAGTATCCACTTTACTCACCAATATATCACAAAACACAACTAAATTGGCTGTCAAAGGGCCCACGAACTTTGGGGGCCCACAGATGGGTGAGGTAGAGGGCCCAACTTCAAATTTTTTCATAGGGCCCAAAACTGCTAGCGGCGCCCCTGCCTTAGCACGTCTACAGTAGAAAATGTAAATAGATGATTTGTTATTCCTCTGTTTACTGTTGCCTCTATACTAAATGTAAACCTATATTATCACCAGACTGCTGCAGTATAAGGAAAATGTTGTCTGGCTCTAAAACAGCCCTGGTCAACCTAACTTTAGCTTTATACTTGTACTGGTGCTATAGACACTTTACATTTCTAAAGTTAAACGAGATCTGAGTTTGATCCATCAATGGCATCAGTCTACATCAGATGAGATCATATTTTTAAGACAAAATGCTGATTAACCAAAGATGCTTCATTATGTGGCATAGTAATGTGGCTTCTCAGTCTAAAAATACATCAAAAATCATAAACACCCTCCTCTGAGTACCAACAACATGTACCTGTTTGAGCCAATCCACCTGAAATTTAAAACAACTGAATCCATGACAAGACATGATTAGGTGAGAGAGGGCATAGGAAAGCATCACAGTGTTTGACCCCCTCTTGCATTTGTCCAGAGCTGCTCCGTTTCACATCAAAAGGACGTCTCTGCATAGATGACAAATTGACAACAGCTGCACCCAAAAGAAGAATTCAGAAACCCTTGCTTTTATTAGAAACAACTGAAGTGAACAATGATCTCCCTTCTACGGCTCCCATCTCAATATTTCACAGTAAGTGATGATCTCCAAAATGTTAGGGGTGTTGTTGCATCCATATTTCACTGGAGAACAATGCAGTGTAACTGACATGCACAGGAAGGAAATGTGCTTACACAGCATCAAACGAACTGTCACAGTATGGATGGGTGCAGAATAATACAGGGCACTGTGGGATGGATGTAAAAAGCTTCATAGCTACACACATCATTTGATCACATAATACAAAGCTGGCATGTGTGTCTATGTGTAAGACATGCATCGTTTGATGGGGTAATATAAAGCTTTAGTGCTTGTGTTTGTGTGCAACTTTGCTTGAACTTTGCCCAAATGCTACAAAGTTGCAGCAAGTGTGTGTGAGTGATTTGCATCAGCTTGCTAAGAAAAAGCCAGCACACATGCATGTATCTATATGCCAACGAAATGTGTGACATGCATCATTTACTTAGATAATACAAACCGTGTGTGTGTGTGTGTGTAGGCGACAAACGGGGGTATATCTAATAACAGGGCTTTCTGAATGAGAGAGTGATGAGTCCTGTCACTCCACAACCATCCATGCACACACACACACAAATGCACACATGCTAACTTTCTGCTAAATTAAGCACTGGAGGAAACTACAGACACTACATCAGACAGCACAGGCATGTACAGATGCACACCTGACACAGAAACAAGCTCACAAACAAGCTGAAACTGATTCTTATGACTAGGAATATAAGAGGGGCGTACACACACACACAGATAAAAATGCAGACATACTGACAGAAACACATGTGCCAGTGCAATGTGACACATAAATTGGGGCATGCATTATTCACTGTCTGAGATTTCAGAGCACAGAAAGACATTAGAGAAAAACAAAGGCAGGCTCTATGCACAGGAACAACTGAATGATGCGGGAGCGTTCCAGAGACATGGAAGTTTCCTATAAAAAAATTCTATAAAGCTTATTTAACGGTAAAAATGTCCCTAGTTAATAAGTCAATCAAACAGTAAAGTCAATCACATTAGCCATTTCACTCATGAAAAATCAATTCTTTCCTTTATTAAATACTTTTGAACAAATGCTAATCAACAAAAAAAAAAAAAGAGAACTACGTATAATCTGTCATTCAAGACCATAAGCACCACAAGCAGTCCACACATGGGCACAACAGTTAGTATATCACAGGATTAGTTCACCTGACTTAGAGAAAAAGAAACAGAATTCTCAGTTATTTCTAGTGATGACTTGCTATGCTAACAGTTTTGGTTATATCCTCCTCCAAGATTTCTGCCACCACCCAAGTATTTGTATCTGAATTCGATTTGTGGTGGTTTGAGTAATCCACAGACCCCGAGTCACAGTCCTCACAGAAACATTTCTACTGTAGCTCTAGTTCCTTTGAGAACAGATGATAAGCTGTTCTGTGGATTATCCAGAGTAACAGGGATGTTGTTGGGAAACTGTTTCAGTGCTGTTAGCTCCACATATGGAAGTGATATCACAGTGGGGCAGTAGCAGAAATCTCACAGGTGGATATCAGCTCAACAGTGCGACGGGTACGCGAGAAAACATGAAACAGCCCTTTACGGTGGCACTGGAGCATACAGACACAAATAAAACAAATCACACTGGGTGTGTAGGACAAGATGATGGGACACCAACCCCAGCAGTAAGCACTGTCCACCTGGTTAGTTACCAGTTATATTAGAGCAACTTGAGTAAGATAAGATGTACATTGCAAATTAATTCCATTCTATAGTATGACAAAAAATAACAAACAAAACCCTTTTGGACAACAACTTGAACAAAAGAATAAAATATTAAAACAACTTCAAAGACTTCATGACATACTGTCACTCTGAAAATATTCTGTCCATGTCTCTTGTCCACAAATAAATACTTTGAAATGAAGACTGCCTTTAATCAGAGTATTATACAGACTGTTACTCCTTTCCACAGAATAAAATAACACAATACAATAAGCACAATTCAAGGCATTAAAGCAAGTTGCAAAGTCACTAACAGTTTGATCAAGCTCAGACTTTGTTCTGGTATACAGCAGCTGATCAACATGCTCCAGACTGTGTTTTCCAAAGGTATCAACTACTTGAGTTGTGCTTTATTATAGAGTGTGTATGTAGTTGTCAGTAAACAGGCAAAGCATACATGCTGCATTTTCCTGAAACAGCCTGCACTTCATAATGAAACAGAATCTTACTTGAAATAAATTCTAAAAACAGTTTGTACCCAAAAGGCCTGTGTACAGTCAAAGTGAAGAGCCTGACTGTGGTTATTCCTACATCACAGACAGAAGACAACAGACATTGATTTGTCCGGAGCAAGCAAAGTAGAATAACTGCCATGTGATAAACCATGTCCTTTAATTAAAATGTAAAAAAATAATCTAGCTACTAGAAAGAAGACACTAAATCTCAGACAACCAATGAACTAATCCTGGACTGAGCAGGTGTCGCTGACTTCCTCAGTCTTTCTATTTAGGCTAATGTTACATGGGATCTAAGGAGAAAACAGTTTTGTCATTGTGTCCCTTCTAAACCATTGTTGGGCTTCTATTATTTCCCTCTTCTCTACCTTCTCGTTTGCAGTCGCTCCATCAAAACAGTTTCTCCACAGTGAAGGCCAAAATAGCTGCTGCCAGCATGAGGCCGATCCCCAGCTTCTTCAGGACTTCCTTGTCCAGACTGTAAGAGCCGATCAACAAAACGGATGAAGAGGGTACAGAAGCAGCTTGGATGCCCCTGGCAACCTGTTCCTGTGGGGGCAACCATGCAGAAAAACAGCCAATTTAGTCTGAGCTCAAGACAGGTTGAGCTTTTTGTGTCCTTTATTTGTTAACATCCTGACACTGTAAAAATGGCACAATACTTTAGTGTCTTGTTGTTAGGGGATGTTGCTGAATGCTGTCCTCTGCAGAGAAATAAAGATTTCCAGATTCTAGCTACAGATATCGAGTGCGGAGCAATTTTGTCAAAATGCACAGTAGATGCTTACTTATATATCTGGTCTCCCTGCTAATTAGGAAAAGATCAACATGTTAAAAATATTAAATGTGTTTTAAATCATGTGCTGTTATAGTAGATCATCACTGAAATTCTTCTGGAGGTTAAAAATGAGCTACTTCATCTAAAATAGCAGGTCCTCCTGACATAAATCCTCCCATATTAACTCTAGTGGCGTAAAGGAGGACGAATTCAGTCACCTACAGTGATCTACTGGTGCTGCTGCTCTTAACTGAGCCTTCCTGCCAAACATTCCTCTCACAGGGAATCAGCTGGGGACTAAGTAGTTTAAAAATTAAAACATTATGTGTATATCCCCAGATGCATGCAGATACACAGACACACACACACACACACACCCAAGGTCCCTGGCTTGTTTTCCCACATACACTTGTGTACACAGAAATCATTGCAGCTCATAGCAAACATCATGCACATAATTCATAATTAGGGAATCATCCTCAGATTAAAGCAACTGGCTACGGTCACAAATCAAAGAGCGAGAGGCTTGACAGCAGAGTGGCCAGTGACCCGGGGCATCAAATGCCTGTAATCAGAGAATTCTGTTTAGTCTCAGTGTGCTGTAGCATTAAATAGACATCCACTACTGAAGGCATGTGACGGTGAAAGATGGGGTAGAGGATAAAAGAGAAACTGTCAGGAGGAGGGAGAGGTTGCTTCTCTTAAACAAATATCTGGAGTTTACACATCAATCAGCCAAGTCGTAATTTGCTCTAGTCACTGGATCTTCATAAAGTAGCCATTTTATGTGAGGTATATACCACCCTTCATGGACCATTGGTGTCAATCATGATTGATTATGCACAAGTAGATTTATTGATGTTACCTGATATGATCCACAGACCCATGGGTGGTGCCTTAAAGGATACGCCTGGTGATTTTCTAGGTTTGGGTTATTTTCCACAAAGAGAGAGAGTCAAACCAACTATGAATGTTGTGTACTCGCCATAATGTCTGTGAATCCAGACCCTGGTTGAACTAATTCCTCTGTGCCATAGACCTCCACTGTTGTCCAAAAATTACAAATCTTAGAAAATCATCGGCTTTTTCCTTTGGTTTAGGAGAACAGATCAGAACTACAGGGCACTGTCCTTCCCTGCACTTTCCTGTGTCTCTGCTGTCTTTTCACCTTCTGTCTCTACAACCCAGTTTCATTTGGAAAAAAACAACAACAATAAACAAGAGTTTCAGTACTTATTTCAATATTTTGTGGATGAAAACATTCACAAAACCAGCCTTTTGCTTATGCAAATGAGTGCATTTCAAATATGATGCTATTGTGTTTGTTTAAAGCAGTTAATGCAGTTTTGTAGTGATCCAATTATTGCAGGGTGATGTTTATTGGACCAAGCTGATGGTGTGACGGTGCACTATGATGTAGTCAGAGAAGCTTGGGGAGGAATGAGAAAAGAAGAGTTAGCATATACAGTAATGTTAGCACAGGCAAAGTAAGACCACTATGTCACTGCTGCTTTGCTATGATGTTTCAGTCAAGTGCAACTTCACCTTCTTGCAGCAACACAGACAATTCACTCAGAGCAGAAGTGTTCATCTAAAGCAAGGATTGCTTTGGGCTGACTTTTAAGGAGTTTGTGTGTTTGGCATGTCACCAATAGTCAGACATGTTAATTGAAATAATGCACATAAGCATGTAAGGCTGGTTTGTGAAACAACGCTGAAGGCAAGCTGGCATTTTTCAGTTTGTTGATGGAGTTAATAAAGGCAAGCTGGTATTTTTCAGTTTGTTGATGGAGTTAATATAATTCAGTTAGTAACACTGAATATTGATAACCAGCCCTGTTTCTCCCTGACCTCCGCTCTCCCTCAGTGAACATCAATCTGTCTGATTACACATTTATTTAGTTTTATTTTAATGTCTGTGAGAGGAGCCCTGAGGTGCAATTTCAAGCAAATCCAACTGATTGCTAAATAAATAAATAATCCTGCACAAGATGTTGCCCTTTTAATTTGAGCATTAAACAAACTGGATGAGAGAACCAACACTTGTCAACATCTCTGAGTGGAATGGAAATCAATCTGATGACCTTGTGGTGGTTTTTATATCTCTCATCTTGCATGGCAGGTGCTAAAATGCCTTATCACCACAAGGGTAGATTATGCAGGGCGATATTGAGTGAATGATCAGCAGCTTTCTAGAATAACCTTTAATCAAGTTCACAAGGGATAACTGTATCGTAAGAGGTTTGGCTGTGAGATTTACTGAATGTCGATTGACTCCTTTCTCTGCACCTTCCCACTTTCATGAGATGTTGGAAACTTAAGGAACTTTGTCCATCATCACCAATACTGGGCAACTGATGTTAGTTTACTATTGTATATTGCTTTAAAAAACTTCCTATAAGGGTAGAAAACTCAGAAATCAACTTGAAAAGTTACCCTTGTAGAGAATTCATATGCATACCTATTGCACTTCTGACTTGTGAACTGAGTAAAAGACGGACACACAAACACCTGACTCTTTGTACAGTACAGTATCTGTATGTAACTGAGAATCAATGCACGTTGAATGCACATAGCTGTGCGCATGAGCAGCTGCAAAGCAGCTGTCGTCTGCCTCAATCCTCCATGTCACTCCCTCTGCTCTATCCTGTGACTGTTGTGAATGTGACTCTGCCACCCACTCTCCTCCTTACTGTTGTCACTGAATGCTTTCCTCTGTCACCACACACAATGGAAGATGGATACTATGACTGACAACGCCTATGTGACACATCCATAAGTCACTTACAGTAACTTGAGACAATAGGTGAAGAAGAATCAGTAACAGAGATCTGGCTGACACACACACATTTGCCTAATGTTAGAGTCATCACTGGCCTCCCTAATGGTGAAACTGATATGCTGTGTTGATGCATGGAGGAAAAAAAAACACAAGAGTTTTTTTGCCAGTGTACATTATATGGCGGTAGTCATGTCACAGTGCATGTGACACCAAGCCTCTTAACTGTGACACTGTCCTGTAAAATACGACAGAATACGTCGTTTGTGCCAGCAGTTTATTATGACAAAATGTAACGTGACATTGTTTGGTGACATCTAGTGGCCGTGTTAATTATGACACGAACAGTGTTCGGAGGAGGAGGTTGGGTGGATGGCTAGGTATACAAAACACAGGCCCTTCCTGCAGGAGACCCAAGCTCAATTCCAGTGTGTGCCTTGTGTTTTACAAGAGTTTTTGTTCCTAAATGTAACAGCATGTTTTTGTTCCTAAACATGACCAAGTCATTTTTTTTCCCTAAACGTAACCAAGTCGTTTTTGTGCCTAACCACCCTGTGTGGCAAAACGTAATGAAATCATGACATTATTTTGAAATCATATTTATGCCTGTTTCCAAGACGCCAGAGTTCCAGTAGCTTGCTGTTAGTTAGCCTGCTACAATATGTAGCCTACCAGCTAGCCATCGTGTTTATGGCTGATGCCATGATGACAGAGGTCAATAAAGTTGGATATCGTGATGTACATTAATTTTGGTGTGAATACTGAAATTCCCACAGGAGCACTATTTAATGATATGAGAGGGAAAGGACAAATGACCATATGGGTCATTGAGCTTGGAGGACTCGCGGCACTGGATGCCTTTTAGAAGGTTTTAAATGTTGGCTCATACATTAAAGCATGACTGAAGTGGCAGTGAGGAAAAAGCACTAGTGGTTGATTTTTCACCATTCATTACTTTTTATGAACATGAATGAATGAATTAATGATAAAGGCTGAATATAAACAAAAAATACTTCTGTTTATACATAAGCTTCAAGTTTCATTTTCTGCACACCTGAATGAATAGTTAATGTAACAGACACGCTCACAGTGAAAGAATGACTAAACAGAAAAAAGTATGATCTTGCTTCACTTACAGGGCAAGTATACTGCCTCTTCTCGGTCTATTTTTCTGTCTCTGCAGGTGTCTTTAATAACAGGCTGCCATGAGAGAGAGTGAATAGTACAGTCTAAAATCTATTACTAGTAGGGAGGACAAGTGAAAATCCAAGTGCCAGTAGATGCGTGTCAGCACAGTGGGAGAGATGGGAGGAAAGGAGCAGAGAGGACAGAAGTGAAAAACTGAGAAGAAATGAGGAAAGGAAGACATGGACAAAAGGGGGCAGGAAAAGATGAGACTTGTGGCTTGCAATGATAGTCCACCACCTGCTAGTTGGCATGCTGTGCTCCTGCATATGTCTGTGAGAACAAGAGCTGGTAGTTGTGAGTGTGTGCGTACATGTGTAGACCTGTGGTGGGTAATGTCTGTCCCCCTGGTCACAGCGGTAGAGCAGAGCAAAATAATCCTCCTGAAAATCATCTAACACTACACTTCGGGGACAGACTGGCTAGCACAACTAGTTACTTTTCCCTCAAGGTCCGGGACTCTCAGATGTCTCTTTGGCTCTAGCTCCACACATGAAACTTTATTTATTTTTAAACTCTGCCTCCACCAATACACCCAACATATTCGCACAAAGACACACAGTGTAACACACACAACACATCACGAGAGCCAGAAAGCACAACACACAATGGTCACATTTCTCACATGATCCTCACCAGCTGTCAGTGTCACTCTAGATACACAGAGACCAAGGAAGGGGTGTGTGTGTGCATGTGTAAACAGATACTGAAACAAGCTCCTTAGTCACGGGTGATTTGACAAAGCCACAGTGGCAATAACAATGATCTGCAGCTGTATTTACAACTGGATAAAAAGTGGAAAGAATT